CGGTCTCTTAATTGCCGCAATGGTAAACTTCATTTACAATTAGAGCCATGTACTTCATCCTGGAGCACTTACTCACCCATTGGTAAACATTTATCCACAACTTTGGTTACTAACACGATTATAACATTTAGTGAAATAAAACTTGCCGAACAACTATGGCAGAGAGCTGTATGAGGGTGGCATAGAGAGAGGGGGAGAGAAGAAGAGAGAGAGAGAGAGAGAGAGAGAGAGAGAGCAGCGGGCACTCGCTTTCATACCTAACGACCCCCAATTGAAGTTGTTAATGAAATAATTTCTTACAACGTAGGAAAACTTTTCGGGTGTGTGCGTGGTGCGCTGAGTGAAAAGCAAGAAAGTGAAACTCGACAATTCAGTTCATTTAGTTTCTGCGGCTGCGGCTGATTATCTGGCATAGATTCTACTTACCTGCACTAAAAGAGAAGGCATTCCGAATAGCCACTTCACGACTTGCCACATTCATAAGACGAGCGTTGGGTGAGTCAGTGAGTGGTCGAGGGCGCTCGAATGCTTTGTGCCTTGCTTCAATTATGCACAACTCGTTTTGTTTGACTTTGGGGCAGCAAAAAGTCTAAACAAATTCTCTGTCTGTCTGGTTGGCATGTCTTTCGGTCCTCCGAGTTGCACTTAACTTGTGTTTTATTGCCTTGCAGCCCGCCGCTGTGTCCATTCGCACTCATCAAAAGGGGCGCCCAAGTCTAACCCTGCCCGTTCGCATTCACACCCACACTCACACCAAACTTAGTCGAGGAGCCCATTGTGCGCTTTGTTTAATGTTATGTAAACTTTTGCCTAGCTTGGCTACTTTTTGCCCGTCTTCCGTTCTTTGTGCACTTCTTGGCCCTGGCCGCACTTCAACTTGTGTTCTATCTATTCAGCCATTCATTTTGGCTGTGTTCGCTATGTTTTGTTCTGTGCTGGCGCCCAGCGAGCACTTTAAGCCAAAGCTCTGCCGAATTGAGGCATAAACTCCATATTACTTAGGCTCTACCAACTTTCCTGTCACGATTTATCCGAGCTCCTCGTCAAATTCTGCCACGCTGACAAATTTCGCGGTCTGCTAACTTCCCAGCTTACTCATGATTGATGACTTTTCAATATAGAGACAGTGATTTTTATGTGGCAGCAGCCATAACGTGTGCCAAAATGTAAATAAGCTGTGCGTGTGTGTGTGTTTGTGTGAGTGTGCTGTGTAATTCACATTGGACTCGACTCCCCTTTGGAAATCAACTTGAGCACTCAATTGTGGATTACATGCGTTTTATTTATGATTTTCCACGCTGGTATTACAAAATGTTTCTCCTTGGTTTCAATTTACTTCCAGTTGTTGCTGCCCTTCTTCTTCCTTCTTCTCCCTTTTTGCTGTTGTTATTGTTATTGTTCTATCAGTAGCAGTAGAGTTTATGTGCAGAGTGTTGGCTTTCGATTGTGGCTTTTGCTTTTTTGCTGCCCAATTTCTGGCTTGACAATTTTTACTACCATTTCCGCCTCAACTTTGCGCTCTCAAACTTTGCTATGTTCAACTTTTTTGCCCAACTGGCAACATTTAATTGCTCAGAAAAATACTTTGAAATAATAAGAGAAACAGGGGGGAAAATAGAAATAGAAATAAAAAAAACTGAGAAAATATTGTGAACTGTTGTATTTTATTATGTTGCTTAAAGTCTCCCATAAACTGCATTTGAGACTCTGCTGAACACTTCAACAATTTGCAGTATGCCAAATGCTATTGTCATCGAGTTAAAGTTGGAAGCTTTTCGTCATATATTACGAGCATGGGCAAGTGGACTTAAAAGCTAGGAACAGTTGCTATAAAATTCAATTTTCACTAAAATTTATATAATAATAAAAGACGTTGACAATTTGCAAATCAATCTTTCACGTTAAGAAATTGTAAGTATTGCAGATGGCATCGAACTTTTTAATATATTATTCAAATGCCATTGAAAATGGGAAATCACCGTATAATGGTTTTGTTAAAAGTATGTAACAGGCAAAAGGAGGCGTGGAAGACCCCACAAAGTGTATATATTCTCGATCAGGGCGACGAGCTGAGTCGATTTGGCCCTGTCCGTCTGTCCGTATGTTTGAACGCGTCGATATAAGAGATAGACTTCAAATTTCTTTAAAATGTCCGTACATAGCGCGCATTAAAAATCGATAACTTATCCCGTTATTTTGTTATCGATAAAACTCTAAATGTATATTAAGATGCATTTTATACAATTTCGATTTGTGGGCGAATTATTATTGAAATATCAGTTGCTTGGAGGGCTAGAGGGAGTGACTAGAGTGTTATTACTTGTTTTTATTATATTATGAATAATATGTACATTATGAATAAAAATAATACTCGATCCACTCTCCAACTCTTTTATTATTTGTATGTGCTCTTTTATATAGTATTGCTTGTTAGATTTATATTTATATTTTATTACATATATTTTTACACTACGAGCGAATAATTATATATATGTATCTATATATATATAAAAGAGAGTTGTGAAAACTTTTCCAGCACTTATAACTCGAGATCTGCTGGACCAATTTTCATGGTTTTT